ATTTCCAGTTCGCTATAAGGCTGTCTTTGGAACCAAGAGAATCTATTAAGTTCTGCCAAGAGATTAAGAAACATCAACCACTCAGAGTGTATTTTAAAACCTGATCATCGATGTGACGGGCTTATCAATTTTGTTGTCATAGTCTTAATTCTTTTTTTTTTCCCTTTGTACCACTAGCCTAAAGAAATTAATTTGCTAGATAAACCTTGGTGCATCCATTTACTGGAATATAGGCATCTGTTTATATAGCGCCTAAAATTGCTAGATACTATACAGAAGTTAAATTTAATTAATTACAGCATTGCAATCTGTAGATAAAAAACAAAGCACATTAGGGAGAAGAGGAAAATGAAATGGAAAGGAGGTGAATCAGGGAGAGCCAGAGAAAATAAATTGGGATGTACAATGAATATGAAGGATTTGGAAAAAGAGGTTCCCCTATCATTCACTAAGGGAAACAGTTCTCTCCATGGAAAAAGCCGTGGGAAACCTGCCTATTTGCCTTTTGGTGTCAGTTCTGTATATTAATAGCAAGCCAGTCAAACACATTGAATTATGTCATGAAAGGCAGGTGCATGTTGCCTCAAGAGAAAAAAAATCCCTAGAATATAGTTTTTTAAATTTTATTAGGTATTAGGACACAAAGTGCCCTTATTCTGGCTTACCGACACCGGTCAGGTGTCCATGGGACATCCATGTTTTTAATTACCTAGTCATCAAACCATAGTAGATGCAGCATGGCCATGGTTTTTCGCACTCGGTGAAGAGTGCAATATATGCAATGTAATCATTACGAGATCCCACCGTTGTGAGGGAAGTGAGATATAATTATATAACTAGCTTTTAAAAAGTGCATGTGAAAAATAATAATAATAAAGAGCTAAGAGAGAGCCACAACTAATAAGTAATAACTACTCAATAGTAATTAATTATTAACCCACCCACCACCCAGTCCGAATTTACAAAGGTATGGATCATATTGATGGACAATAATAAAGCTCTTCCTGAGAGAAGTTTGGCTACCCATGATATTCTGCTAGGAGGCATGTCAATTTTTCTCAAGAGGCGGTTGTTACCCGAAATCCATTTTCCTCTGGTGCCAATTGGTAAAACGAAGAACTCCACTTCTGATGCTCCAGTCAAATGTTTGACTTGATCTTCTAGCTCTGAATAGTAGGAGACCTTCTCAACAGCTGCCTGCGCCAGGCCAACATGATGATGTTCAAACCGTACAGTAACATCTACCACAAATACCCTACCATTTTTAACAAATATTGTCCGGCTTCCTGAGCTGATTCTCTTTGTTCCTCAAGTGCATTTCATGGTATACCTTCCAATCTAAGCCCTTCGCTTCCTCAATCAACAGTGCACAGATCTTATTGTACCTCAAAATTCTTATCTTTTGGATGCTGGGGTATTGGCCCAAAATATGTGAGAGCGACTCAACCCAAGTTTCACAATAATGACAACTCCGACATGCTTCTTTTACTCCTCTACTACAAAACTCACAAGTTGGAACAACATTTGCCCTGAGTTTTAATGCCATAATAAAGTGTCGGCATGTAAACCCTCTCCCATCAAGTAACCAAGCATTGCTGATTTTATCATTCCTAAACAATCCAATTCCACTACCCCGGCAAATCAACGATACTCCCTCAATTCTGGAAAAATCTTATTTAAACTACCTCTGACACAATCTTGCTGTTCAAATATATCAGGAATACTATCCATTGGTCCTCCTAGCTTATTCCAAGCCTTCTCCTATTTCTGCTGTAATCCTCCTGCCCAACATATTTCTTTAACAACTACATCATCTGCCTGTGCAAGCTTCACAATACGTCTCAACTGAATTGATGGAACCAACATTTCCAGCTGACAGATACCTAAGCCCCCATCTTGCATCAGAGTATACATCAAGCTATTTGTGGTGCATCTAGGAAGATGCAACCATATCTTTACTTTCACATGGATAATATCATTGTTTGGGCCCAGACAGGTGGAGGTCGCATCCAGGTGGTCTGCTAGATATAATAACCATGGCAGAATATGGTGTTTTAGAAGGTTGATCTTCTGCATTGGTTTCAGTGGCACCCAGTCAATCTTCATCAACCAGGATTCCACTTCCCCCAATGATCCAAATTTACACACTCCTTTCCACGGATCCAGGTTGGCTCCCAGATACCGTTCCTCACTGCCCGGAGATACCATGTGAAGATATTCACCACTCACAGACCATCCTTCGCAGTTGTTGACCACATATGAGTCTCTGCTCAGTGACCATGGCTTTTCCTAGCTTGTACCTTTAAACCAGATAGCCCAAAAAAGTCTCTTCCACTTCCAGAAATCTAGCCATAGAAGTCCAATCTTTACTCAGTAAAGTCAAATTGTCTGCAAATGCTAATGCCAACAAATTGCTCTCACCAACCTCAAAACCACTTTCAAGACCATCCAATTCAGTAATTAGAGGATCTAACGCAATTTTAAACAATAGGGGAGATAACGGATCACCCTGTTTCACTCCTGAACAAAACTGAATGGGGTTAGTTTTCCCACCATAGGTTTGAAATACTGTACTTGCTCCCTCCATTGAGCTCATGATCAGATCCACTGTGCTTGTCTAAACCACGGTCTTGTAATACCCACTTAATATGTACGTGGGAAACGGAATCAAAAGCTTTGGCTATGTCTACCAAGACAATGCCCAAGCATTTCCTTTCTGCCTTTGCTATTTTCATCACCGATTTAATAACCTCCAGACTTTCTGCATATCCAGATGAAGAGGTAAATCCTTTCTGCCTCAGATGAATAGGACATGCCTTTTGCAGCCTACTAGCCAAGATTCTTGAAAATAACCGGACCACAGAACTAATGGTAATAGGTCGTCAATTTCCTATATCTTGCAACTCAATTTCATCATCTACTTTTGGTATCAAGACAGATCTACATTGTCTAACAACATCTGGGATATGTCCTCTCATTAACCAGATATTAAAGAGACAAGCGAGTTGTCTCCTGCCAGGGCCATCCTTTTTAAGTCTCTCACCAGCAGCCCATCTGAGCCTACCGCAGACTGTTCATTCATTATACCTGAGTCCACACTTCCTCTCCCTCCAATAGTTCATAAAACAGATCATTATCAGCTAAACTAAAGGCTTTAAATTGGCCCAGTCCCTCAAACTTAAATCTCATCTCCAATTTCTGAACGTACCTTCTTCAAACTTTCTGATAGACTCCCCATAACCATCTTATTGTTACTTTCGTCGATCACTAGCTTCCCACTTTTCTTCAAATCCCTGATTTTATCAGCGATTTGCTTGTTAGTTTTACTAGGTA